GATGAATTTGGATGTTTTTTTAAGAGTTTTTAGAGGTACCTATTAGAGAACCGACTCTAGGCTTTATTTGGGGCCAAAATTGATTAGAAAAGTGACTCTTCCTAACATCTCATCATCTCATTTCAACCTTCTAAGCATCACACATTTTTTCATTTTTCATTCCACAACCATTTAGAGTCCATTGTTCTTATAATTTAGAGTTTTGTGGTTAGATTAAGTGTGAATTCTTCTCTAAGATTCTTGAAGAAGGAGAAAATGAGAGATTTCTTCTTTCTACATTTCCTAGAAGAGGGTACAAGGTGTTTGCTCTGAGAAAGAGTTTCAGATAAGTGTTGTTTGTTTATTAGTGTTGTATGAACTTTCTTTTATATATGAAATTTATGATTTTTTGTATCTTTCTCATGAAGTCTGAGTATTTTACTTTATCTTTCTCCCTACTCTGAGATATGGTGAAATGAAGAGATAATATGAATATGCCAATATTAAAATATAAAATAAATTGTAATGGCTTTTCAACTCCAAACTTAATTTATTTTTCAATCTGGTCAATTGAATTGTTAAAATGAGTTGTGAAACATATGATCCGGGAAATGGAGTATGAGTTCTATAACAGAGTGAGGCTCACATTTGATTTCATGAAGGAGAATTTTGTTCATGGAATTAAGTGCAAATAAATAGGGAAATATACTTTCTTGGGTGTAGAATTGGAGAATCTTTAGGGTGATAGACTAAAATCCCCAATTCGGTCTTAGTGTGTAAGAACTAAAACAAGAGTTAGCCTTCAGGTGAAGGGAAGTGGGAGCTTTGGAGTGGGAGCCAATATCCTCCTAGCCTAGCCACGAGTTTAGAGTCTAAACCAGGGATTAGCCAATGATTTTCTATAACACTGTATCAGGGTAGAGAATTAAAACTGCTCTTCTTTGGCATAATACATATTTGAATCATTTATCTCATCTCATTTTACCAAAATCTCATTGTAGTAAGAATGATGCTTTTTCACATAAGAAATCTTCATCACATAAACATAGTTCAATAGTTTCGTAGTTACTGTTTAAACTTTGTATTTCAGTTTTGTTATTAGTTAAATAATTTAGTTATGATAATATCTCAACATTTAAAATTAGTGACAGTAATTTCATTTTGACTTTCTGTGAATTTCCTAGTAAGTTTATCATTTCAAATTTAAACATTCCCCATGGGATCGATATTTGGGGCTTAAATAGAAAGTCCTTTATCACTTGATAATGATATGTATACTTGCATAGAAACCTAACATTAATTGCTTAAATTTCTTATTCATAAAATATTGCATCAAGCTTTTGGCACCGTTGCATAGCGCAATCAACTATATAATTTTTACACAACTATATTCTTGGGATCAAGCAGCTGTTTCTGGAGAAATGACCATGTTGTCCCTGTTTGTTAAAACTGTTTAAAAATTTTTATTTTTATATATTAAATTGATTAATATCTGTAAATATATGAAAGTAATCATTATTATGGAATAAATTTAAGTATTTGGTATATATATATATATATATATATGGCAGAATGATTCTAGATGTTGTTGATGGCCTAATCTCAGCTGCCTTCTCAAGTTTCATTAGATTTTTTTCTCTCATCACTGGTATCTTCAAGTTTTGCTTTTCTATAGCTCTTTACTTCTTCCCGGGCTTCTGTTTTTCAAATTATTACTGTTCCATTGCTTAGCTCCACTATTGCTATTTTGGTTTTGTTTGGTTACTTGGGATTTGTCTTTACTGGTTCTTTTGCTTACTCTACTTTTCCATCAGCTACTCCTTTGCCCAAAATCGATAGCTCCACTTGTTACTTTGACTCTTTGATATTTTCTGTGCTGTTGGGGTTTTTCAGTGATGACTGACCCTAATGCTATTGATCTTGCCACTAATATTTAGTGGGCTAAAGCCACATTTGCTGACATTGTTGGAAAAGGTTATGATAATGTTCAAAATCCTGATGACTTGGTATTCCCTCAAGAGTACCATGAGGGAAATGGCCCTCTTTTCAAACCAATATGCAAGAAAAGTGGGAAAATGGCTATCTATTATTCTGAGGACTTAAATGGGCTAACAGAATGCTATAAATTCACCATAATTAGCAAATTTCAACTGGGCCATCCTAAAATGGAATCTGTGAGAAGATACTTTGATGGACTAAAATTTAAGGGGCTTGGAAAGTGGGTCTTTTTGATGGAAGACACATTCTCATCAACCTAACAAGGGAAGAAGACTATGCTAGAATATTCTCTAAACAATCTATATTGATTGAAGGTATCTCAATGAAACTATTAAAGTGGACACCTGATTTTGACCCTAGTAAAGAATTGTCAATTATCCCCATTTGGTTTAAGTTACCTAGACTTAAACTCCACTTCTTCAACCATAAAGTTATTTTCAACATTGGCAAAGCTTTGGAAAACCTTTGAAGTTGGATGCCCCCACCCTTAATTTATCCAGACCGTCAGTAGCTAGAATCCCGATTGAAAGAAACATTACCTTACCAGCGATGGAGGAAATTTGGTTAGGTACTGAGCACAGTGGATATTGGCAGAAAATCATAGCTGAACAAAGGCCTTATTATTGTCATCACTGCAAAATGTTTGGCCATACTGATGATAAGTGCTTTAGAATTCATCCCAATCTCAGAAGGAAGCTACCCAGACCTAATTCTGAGGGATTACAGACACAGGGAATTAAGATGCCAACTGTTGATAGAATTGCAGCCCAGGATTCTGAAGTTCCAGGGGCAAGGATTCAGGAGGACACTTTATAGGAGTTGGCTGAATTATCTCAGAATATTGATAAAAGTGCTGTTGACCCTTATAACTCTCTGCAAAATGTTCTATAACCTCAGACTGAGCAGCTTCACCTTATCCTAGAATCAACTCAAGTTGAACATATCTAGTGTACTGCACTTCAAACACCTCCTGTTGAACAAAGGGAAACTGTTATTGATATACCAGAGGAAGATCCTTTGCTATTACAAATGGCTAAAAATTTAGAAGAGGGATGGCAAATTCAGAAATCAAAAAAGAAGAAAATTCCCTTTGAACTAAAGAATCTACTTCCTTTTTATTCTTCTTTGGAGGAAGGCCTCCCTCTCACTTCTAGCACTGTTAGGACTAGAGGAGAGGAAAGTCCACCTTAATTGGTTAATGAATTTAATCTGTTGGAATGTTAGGGGATTAGCACATCATATATCCCTTAATAGAATTATGACTCTTAATAGGATGTATAAACCTTGGATCATTGCAATATTTGCACCTATGATATCTAAACATGTCAACAAAATTGTGGGAAGTTCCCTAGATTTTAGCTATTTGTTAACACTAATAGTAAATTTTGGTTATTTTGCAGACAGGAAATTCAATGTATTGTTATCAAAGAGGGAGACCAATGTATTCACTTGAAGATTAACTTAAATAGCTATAATGGCTTTTCTGCTTTTATATATGCTAGTTGTACCTCAACTGCTAGATAAGAACTCTGACAACAGTTACAAGAATTCAGTAATTCTATAAGGGATTTCTAGTTTGTTGGGGGTGATTTCAATTGCCTCTCTTCACCTAATGAGAAGAAGGGTGGGAGATCTCCTTATATCAACCTTATGAACTTTTTCAATGAAAATATCCAGTCTGCTGGACTTTATGATTTGGGATTTACTGGTCCTAAGTACACATGGAGAAGGGGGAGGATATGGGAGAGGCTAGATAGAGTTTTGGTGAATGACATTTGGTAAAGAGATTTCCTTCATACATTTGTCCAACACTTAGCTATGAGTGGTTCTGACCATAGAAATTTACTTATTCATATATCTGCCAACACTACTAAAAGTAAAGCCAATTTCAGATATCTAAATATGTGGTCCATGCAAATATGTGGTCCATGCATGGGGGTCCATGCATGGGGAATTTTTAAATCAAGTCTCTTTGGCTTGGGCTGATGTTCACCATCACATTCCTGGTATCAAACTATGGTTATTACATAAAAGCGTTAGTAAAAATCTTTCTAAATAGAATTGGGGAGTGGTAGGGAACATTAATAGCAAAGTCCTAGAGGCTGAAAAGAAGATACTGTAATTAGAACAACTCATGACCTTTGGTCATGGGTCTGAAATTGAGCTTCATTCTGCTAATGAACACTTGCTGGATGCCATCAATATGCAAGAGGAGTTTTATGCTCAAAAGGCCAATAGAAAGAAATTTTGTGATGGGGATAGAAATTCTAAATATTACCATGCTTGCATCAACCATTATTACCATGCTTGCATCAACTATAGGAGGAAATGCAACACTATTCATAAAATCATTACACAGGAGGGTCAATTGATTACAACTGTTGAAGGTATAACTTGGAATGCTGTTCAATATTTTCAAGACATTTTTAAACAACCTCCTGCCTCTCAACCTGCCATTCAATATGCATTATTTGATAAAGAAAGGGAGTCCACTCAAAGCCTTTCTCTCACTGATATTCCTGATGAAAAGGAAGTATGGGAAGCATTGAATTCTATTGACAGTACAATGATTGTTGGACCTTATGGGTTCACAACTGACTTCTATAAAAAGGTCTGGCTGAAGGGAGATGTTATTGCAACAGTCCAAAGTTTTTTTTCTGAGGAATCAGGCAGCCTTTATCAAGGATAGAAGCGTTGTAGATAATGTTCTTTTGGCCCAAGAGTTGGTATTAGATCTGGACAGAATCACTAGAAGAGAAAATTTAATTCTCAAGTTGGATATCAGAAAAGCTTATGATACAATCAGTTGGAAGTTTATTAAACAAGTCCTCATTGCCAGAGGTTTCCCCCCTTCTTTTGTCTCTCTAATTAATAGATGGCTGGCTAATAATTTTCATTCAGTCTTTATAAATGGAAGTTCACATGGGTTTTCTAGTGCATCCAGAGGTATTAAACAAGGTGACCCACTATCCCCTACCATATTTATTTTGGTTTTTGACTACTTATCCAGAGTTTTGAACGATATGGCATCCAGGAAACCCCACTCCCTTTATAGTCATAGATCTTCCATCTTAATTAACCATTTGACTTTTGCTGATGATGTTATTATATTTTCCAAAGCTTCGAAACCTGTTGTTAGATTATTCATGCAGTGCTTGGAGAATTTCCAGGAAGTTTCTGGAATAAAGTTGAATGGCCAGAAGTGCATTTCTGTTTTAAGCAAACAATGCAAGAGTGAGTTTAAGAAATGGGTTTCTAACTTCACTGGCTTTACCAATAGCCAACTTCCTGTGAAATATCTAGGGGTGTTTCTTATCAAAGGGAGAACTAAAAATTTTCAGTTTGATCATATTCTAGAGAAGATTCAAAGCAAGTTGCAAGCATGGGAGAATTCTTATTTATCCAATGGGGGTAGGATAACCCTTCTGAAAAGTGTTCTATCAGCCATTCCATCTTATCTTCTGCAAATGAATGTTATGAAAAAGGCTACTCAAAGATTATTGGAAGGTATGTTCAATAGATTTATGTGGGCTGGTCAAAGGAAGCAAAAACACTGGACTAATTGGGTTAAGGTTTGTAAACCTTTAATGGAAGGAGGGTTAGGCTTCAAGTCCTTTCCTCAAATAATGCAAACTAACCTTTGTAAACTCTGGATTAAATTTAGATCCCAGTCCTCCCTTTGGGTTGAATTCTTATGGGGTAAATACTGTAAGCACCAACATCCTACCCAATTATATGTAGGATTGGGGGACTCTCCTATTTGGAAAAAGATGTTACATATTAGGGAGGATGCTGAACAAATGTTTTTCTGGGAGATTGATGATGGTTTGGTTAACATCTGGTGGGATAATTGGTTTTTGGAAGGCAGCCTGCTTCAAGATCAAAATGCTCCAACCTTCCCCAAGTATGTGAAGGATCTATGGGAACATGATAAGTGGAATCTTAATCCTCTTAATCCTATCCTTCCTATCCTTCCATTCTGTAACCCCTCTCAAATCTCTAATATTCTAAAACTCTCTATTAAACATGGGGAAAAGGATAGAATTGTAATAAAAAGAACATATCTCCATCTCCTCCTCCCTATCAGGTGGTGGATTGGGGTCATATAATTTGGAACAAATTTCTTACTCCTTCCATGTCCTTTTTCATTTGGAGACTCTTCTCAAATTTGATTCCCACTGATGATATCTTGAAATTCAAGGGCCTTAGAGGACCCTCTAGATGTATTTTTTTTCTAACTAAGGAGTAAACTCTTGCTCACCTTTTTTTTGCCTGCCCTTGGGTACAGAAAACTTGGACTATAGTGCTAGAAAATCTGAATGCTCCAACCATGAATCTTTCATGGGATGTTTTCTATAATTGCTGGTCTAATTGGAAGGGTATAAAACTTCAAGATATCCCCAATATTGTGGCTTGGTTTGTTTAGATGGCTAGAAATCACCTGAAGTATGAAGCTATTCCCTTAGAGCCAATGAAAGTGGGCCTAAATTGCATTGCCTATGTACAAAACTTGATTAAACTTAAAAAGTTTGTATTGGAGCTGGCCCCCTCTTGGAGCTGGCCCCCTCTTCTAAACCTTCTATTACTAAAGTTTTGAAAATTTGTTGTGCTCCTCCCAAGTATGGCTGGATAAAGTTAATATAGATGGTAGCTACAAGTCACATTTTGCAGGATTGAATGGCCTTAGAGGACCCTCTAGATGTATTTTTTGTCTGACTGAGGAGGAAACTCTTGCTCACCTTTTCTTTGTCTACCCTTCGGTAGATAAAATTCGGAATATAGTGCTAAAAAAGCTGAATGTTCTAACCATGAATCTTTCATGGGATGTTTTTTATAATTGCTGGTCTGATTGGAGGGGTATAAAACTTCAAGATATTCCCAATATTGTGGCCTAGTTTGTTTTGATGGCTAGAAATCACCTGAAGTATGAAGCTACTTCCTTAAAGCCAATGAAAGTGGGCCTAAATTGCATTGCCTATGTACAAAAATTGATTAAACTCAAAACGTTTGGAGTTGTATTGGAGCTGGCCCCCTATTCTAAACCTTTTATTACAAAAGTTTTAAAAATTTGCTTGTCTCTTCCCAAGTATGGCTGGATAAAAGTTAATACAGATGGTAGCTACAAGTCACATTATATAGGATCGAAGGGCCTTAGAGGACCCTCTAGATGTATTTTTTGTCTGACTGAGGAGGAAACTCTTGCTCACCTTTTCTTTTCCTGCCCTTGGGTACAAAAAATTTGGACTATAGTGCTAGAAAAGCTAAATGTTCCAACCATAAATCTTTCATGGGATCTCAACCATGAATCTTTCATGGGTTGTTTTTTTTATAATTGCTGGTCTAATTGGAGGGGTGTAAAAATTCAAGATATCCCCAATATTATAGCTTGGTTTGTTTGGATGGCTAGAAATCACCTGAAGTATGAAGCTACTCCCTTAGAGCCAATGAAAGTGGGCCTAAATTGCATTGCCTATGTACAAAAATTGATTAAACTCAAAAAGTTTGGAGTTGTATTGGAGCTGGCCCGCTCTTCTAAACCTTCTATTACTAAAGTTTTGAAAATTTGCTGGTCTCTTCCCAAGTATGGTTGAATAAAAGTTAATGCAGATGGTAGCTACAAGTCACATTATGTAGGATTGAAGGGCCTTAGAGGACCCTCTAGATGTATTTTTTGTCTGACTGAGGAGGAAACTCTTGCTCACCTTTTCTTGCTCAGGAAACTCTTGCTCACCTTTTCTTTTCCTGCCCTTGGGTACAAAAAATTTGGACTATAGTGCTAGAAAAGCTAAATGTTCCAACCATAAATCTTTCATGGGATCTTTTCTATAATTGCTGGTCTGATTGGAGGGGTATAAAACTTCAAGATATCCCCAATATTGTGGCTTGGTTTGTTTAGATGGCTAGAAATCACCTGAAGTATGAAGCTATTCCCTTAAAGCCAATGAAAGTGGGCCTAAATTGCATTGCCTATGTACAAAAATTGATTAAACTCACAAGTATGGTTGAATAAAAGTTAATGCAGATGGTAGCTACAAGTCACATTATGTAGGATTGAAGGGCCTTAGAGGACCCTCTAGATGTATTTTTTGTCTGACTGAGGAGGAAACTCTTGCTCACCTTTTCTTTTCCTGCCCTTGGGTACAAAAAATTTGGACTATAGTGCTAGAAAAGCTAAATGTTCCAACCATAAATCTTTCATGGGATCTTTTCTATAATTGCTGGTCTGATTGGAGGGGTATAAAACTTCAAGATATCCCCAATATTGTGGCTTGGTTTGTTTAGATGGCTAGAAATCACCTAAAGTATTAAGCTACTCCCTTAGAGCCAAGGAAAGTGGGCTTAAATTGCATTGCCTATGTACAAAAATTGATTAAACTCAAAAAGTTTGGAGCTGTATTGGAACTGGCCCCCTCTTCTAAACCTTCTATTACTAAAGTTTTGAAAATTTGTTATTCTCTTCCCAAGTATGGCTGGATAAAATTTAATACAGATGGTAGCTACAAGTCACATTATGCAGGTATTGGTGGTGTCTTCAGGAATCATGAGGGGAGGTGCATCTTATATTTTTCAATCTCTTATTATGGTTGTTGATCCTCTTGAAACTGAATGTCAAGCTGTTTTTTTGGGCCCTCTATTTTGCCAAAACTTGCAACTTTAACTAGTTGTGGGTTGAATTTGATTCTTTGCTGCTTATCAACATTATCAAGGGTTCTTGTGACATTCCCTGGAAATTAATCTGCTAGATTTCTGGGATTCATCTATTGCTCCAGAATTACTCCATAATTTTGACTCATATACATAAAGAAGGTAATAGACCTTCCAATTGGCTGACTAGAAGGGGTCTTCACACTGAAATCCGTTTGGTGAGCAAAAGGATTCCTCCCTCACTGGCCTTCCTATTATCCAGTGATCTTTTGTCTCTTCCCTATATTAGATAGTTTCCTTTTGATGTTTTGAGAGGTTGCCTCCTTTTTATAGGCCCTCTTCTCCTCTATGTAACTGATTTGTCCTGTATCTGGTTGTTGGACCATGTTCTAAAATTGGTTTCTTCGTTTCTAACTTACCATGGAAGTTTTTCTTGTATATGAATGGTGACTATTTCAATTAACTTTGGCATTTTATCCTAGTTTGCTTGGTATCCAATTTTGGCTTGGTTAATTGCACTGATGCAGAAATTTATAGCTCTAATGCTTTAATCTTTTTGATTTTTTAATGGCATTATGGTTGCCTGCTGGAAAGTTGATTTGGTCCTGTATCTGGTTGCTGGACATTGTTCTGAAATTGGTTTTATCTGCCTAGGACAGCTTAGCGAGTCAGGAGTTAAATGGTGCAGTTGTTTTCAATAGTTTAACTGATCTTCCTTGTTGTTGTTATGGGGGTTTTGATTCTCTTCTTGGTTATTTTCTTATTTTTCTATATTTGGTTTCGTTGGTGAATGGACAGCATTTTTGGATTACTTTACTGAACACTGGTTTGCATCTAGCTGGATGGCCTCTTTTCCTTTGTAGAGATGGCATTACACGATATTACTTGATGCCACCTTGGATTTATGTATTTGGATGTAATTCCCATTATGGATTCACAGTTTCTCTGGTGATTGGAAGTCTTTTCTCTGTGGCCACAAGATTTTTATGCACAATAATTTTCTTTTCCTCTATTGTTTCTTACTGTTTTAACTTGGCAGGGATTTACCTAACTAATTGTAGGATGGGTCTGACTTTAATGTTGATCCCGTTGGATATTACCCTCTTAACTTTCATTATGCTCTCCTCTATTATAGTTACCATGAGTTTTGGTATACATGTAAATTTTGGGTATCATTTCTTTTTTTCACACATTTAGAGAGTTTACATGTATTTTTTGAATTTTTTTGTGGAGTTGTACTGTGGATAGTGGAACCTCTAGGTTCATGATGTATTTTTATTTTATTTTAGTTGGGGATCCACTAACCCTCCCAATCTTTGTATCCTTTTTCTTTATCAACGTGTAAGGAGCCACGAGTTGCTCTTTTAATATATATATATATATATATATATATATATATTTTTTTAAATATATAAACAAAATGA